CACACACTTTTCGTAACAGTAACTGTAAGACGTAACGTATGAATTGACCAATCATGTTGAGAATCGTCGAATTGTAAGGTCGCCATTTTTATGAATACTCGGTCGCAATTGGTCAATTTTCACATTACGTTACGTCTTACGGTTACTATTACGGAAAGTGTGTGTGGCCAGCTTCACTCTCTGTCAGCTGTTGTTTACTTGAAAAACAAATCCTCTGATTGGCCCATCGGCTGCATTCCGATATACGACAGCGACATACGACGTATTGTAGAACAGGCTGTAGAGAGTTGACAGCGGGTCGTAGTCATGAGCGGACGTGTTACGATTGTATTGAGACTGAGGCTGTAAACTCGTATTTCGCTGTACGTAGTAAAGCTTCTCATTCTTTTATAATTGTGTTCATTCATTTCCTCCGTGCGCGATCGCGAGTGCAAGCGCGAGTGCAATAATATTATAAAATGTGTGATCTTACATTTGCAATCGCGATTCAGCTGAGAAATTCAGATTTAACTCTAAATTAAAATCTGAGTGTCTTATTTGAAGCAGGTTTCAAGTAACGACTATTAATATGAATCTAAGGCCGTAAAAATCATTACTTAAATCTTGTTCCAGATGAGATCTGAATTTAGAGTTGAAGTTAGATTTGAGTTTTTATTCAAGTCATATGATAAATGCAACATCACGGTTGAAATCGCGATTTAACTAAAAAGTTTACATCTAATTTTATATTTAAATTAAAATTTATTGCATCAATTGTACATTGTATTTATATCATTAATTTGTGAAAAATTACGATGAAATATTACAATGTATTTTAAGATGCCGACTGTCTTTCGATTGTCTTTTGATTTTGATAATAATATGCTTCTGCAGAATTTGCATCAATTTCCGCTACTCGCATAAATAGCTATTCCAAAAGTGAGACGAAGTTGCAGTTCAGTTAAAAGTAAAATATTTAATGTCAGCTTTTAGATATTAAATGATTTCTGATATTCAATTGTGTTGATATTTGCACAGAATAATAATGTGTGTGCATTTTTACAACTTTTCCTCATTATATTTACAACTTTACAAATTTTACTAACTTTGTTATGTTTTCATCCCAAGCACTGCGGAAACCCATTAGTGACGTCTCGACAGCGAAATTATTCAGCTTACGAAGATCCACTCACTTGAACGATAAATGCAGCCAATCGAGGTTCGCGCCGGTCTCAAGTGTCAGCGCCACAAACGCGAACTAACCTATTCAAAGAAAAAAATTTTGCTCGTCGCAGTGAACATATGAGTGAGTCGCCTTATTAATGCACGATGGAATGTAATATACTATTTTAATATTGCAAGTCTGAAAATATGTGATCATCTTGATTTTTAAATTGATTTTATCATTATACAAAACGTAATCTTATCGGTAATGACCCTGATCGAATGACTCTTATCTTATCAATAATAGTAACATATAATAAGAAATATAAGTATATAATAAGAAATATAAGAAAAGAGAGACACCTATGTCATTATGTTAGTGCATATTAAACATAATTTTGATATTTATTTTTGCTTTTTAAACAGCTACACATAGTCCATAATGCTATATATAGCCGATAATGTTAAAATTTAATTTAATTGTGACGTTGTTGATGTTTTCTTCATCAAAGTTTGTCGCGCACTTCGGTATCGTTTTAATGATTCTTCGTTATGTTCCCCGAACGTTATCATCATCATCGTGTAGCTCCTCGCACGGATACTGAGCGCAGGTAATGTATCATTCGATACAGTGAAAGATATTAATTTGGCTATTTCTCAATCTATATTACGCATGCGCATGGTCTCGTATACTGTTATTACAAAATTATTTACATGACCGCGACGGCGGTGACTCTCTGCGAGCCGCCTAAACATCGCGATGTAGAAATCCTATTGCAAATTTCACTCGGTGGTTTTTAACCTCTGACTCGGCTCTTACGTTACACTTGTGCGTTATACACGGAGGAAAGACAAAGAGAGATAGACAGAGATGAAGAAGGAGAGACAGAGAAAGTGTGAGTATGTGTGTGTATGAGAAAGAGAGAGAGAGAAGTACCTTTCGCTGCTTTACAATTCTTACCTTCGTTCTTTTTAAATACATGGAATATGAATGTACATATCATTACATAATCTTATCGTATCAAGGAAGTTTGACAGGTAACGTGAACTTTGTCGTGTAAGAGAAATGACGATTTATTAGAGAAAACGATTTCATATAAATTACTAGTGTCATTAATTATCTATCGTCACAATGCGCTTGTTCATTACGATTAATATATGACCTCTAATTCCAGAATAAGTACCGTAGTACGTACAATAGTAAGTACATTTCTATGTATTCCTATGTAAGTTCCTTCTTTAATACGTTACAACGGTTGTACGAATATATCTATACTCTATTTACTAACTATCTCACCAATTTCCTTTGCTACATGCGTCGCGAGTATCATTAAATTAAATTATATTATTATTAAATTAAATTATATTACGTTGCTCTTGTAACTCCCATTTGCAAACGTAAACATTTCGCACGGAGTGACACTGAGGAATGTCGTTTGCAAATAAAGTATGACTCGCTCGCGACTATTGCGGCGGTTTCGATCCGAGATACTGGAGGATCAGTATCTGCATTGTGACGCGACAACAATGCGCGATTGTTCGTGCGTGGTCTGATTGCAATCGCCCTGAATATTTTATATTCGGGATGTTCGCCGTATCGTCGGACACATGTCATTCAGAGCGTGAAAGCGTCACCGTGCGCGTTCGCGATGTTACAATTCGTTTTCCACGCCGTTGTCCCTTCCTCCGCATTCGAGCGCGCGAATTTAGAGGAGAGAAGAAATCAAGTCGGAAAAATCAATTAGATTATAAACGACACTTTTACTTCCAGCCGCGCGCAACGAATTGCTCGCGTGAAACTTCTTCCTGTCGTAATACGCGTAATCGCGAATCCGCTCAGGATTTACAGCTCTTCGAAGCTCGATCCTTTGAAAATACTCGTGAAGGATCTAATTCTCGTAAAGGGTCTGATACTCTCTATTAGGATAAAGAAAAGAAGCTGAAACGTCTTTATGAAGCACTAAAAATATTACATTATCACAGCCATATCGAAATTGCGTGATTCGATTGTCAACGCGCCGGCCACTGTTTCGCTACGTGTTCTTTGCACGAGTCGTACGAGAAACAACACGTTGTTTGTCAAAACCGTGGAGTGTCACACTACGTGAGTTCTGCGATCGCGCAAATTAAAATTTTCATTTCGATTAATTTAATATCAACGACCTTAATAGTAATAACGCAGCTATACTTCACATACTCATTTTTTAATACATTTTCGATAGTCGTCTCTTTAGCAATACATAAGCCAGAACTCGAAACATGATACTGCAGCCAATCAAAACGACAACATCGAGCCAAAACAACGGTTTAGCTAAGTCTAGCATTTCCAGTATGATATTTGGCGCTCGCAAGTGGCAGTAGATGATCGAGCATTGTAAAACCTCACGACCATTGCCGTAGACACTTTGAACCAAACCGTCGAAGGAGTATCGAAACGTGTTCAGGTAACTAAGATAGTACATAAACTTGGATAAGTCCTTGAATAAGGCCAAGACGCCGGCGAAACCTATCATGATGCACACGATAATGGCTCCGAAGAAAGTTCCGTTGACGGGATTGAATATTGAGCCCAACCAAAGGCCCATACTTTCGGAAACGGAGACGGTTAAAATGCAAATGAGCAGATACATGAAGAAGCGGGAGAACTCGAGCGGTTGACTGCTCAGCAAGTAGGAGATGAACGTGTAAATAAAGGTGGAAACCATTTGTATCGGTATTGTGGATACTAGCATGGCTGTATAATAGGTTTTCAGTTTGTACCAATTGTTGAAACACTCTTTACGCAGAATGGTAACCTCCAAAGGAAACTTGAGTACGGCCGGCATCATGGTGGTGTAATATAAGTACACTAAGCTCACCTGAAAATAAGTGAGGTTGCTGAATATCTTTTTACCATCATCGCCGGCGTGCTCATAAAGCAGTCCTAACAGCACCCCTACGAGGAAGTGCATGATCAGTTTCAAATGTATCGTCACGTGGTCACGATACATCAAGGTTGCGTAGCGCGACAGTAACACCCAGAACCGATTCAGCTCTGTGGGCGGGGTTATCGTCTGATTGTCGTTGGATATGTCCTGGCTCATGTCGTGTGATGACTTGATCCAACGTGTTTCATCGTTTGATTCAGCGAAACACTTGGTTGCCGCGATCAACTGTTCGTCGTAATTACCGTACTCTTTGGACACCACCTCCAGCATGTAGTCCGCAGGGTTGTGATACTTGGGACACACGAGACCTTGCTGGGCGAAAAAGTCAACTGTGTCGCTAGGCGGGAAGCGATACATGCAGTGACCGTCCACCACCAGATAGATGTGATCGAACATCTCATAAAGCGTTGCGCTGGGTTGATGTATGGTGCAGATGATCGTTCTGCCAGTTTGCGCCAGTGTTTTTAATGCGGTCACGCACTGGACAGACGCCAAAGAGTCCAGGCCTGTGGTCGGCTCGTCCAGGAATATGAGCATTGGATTATCAATAAGCTCCAAGGCGATGCTCAGTCTCTTTTTCTGGCCGCCGCTTAGCCGGTCCACTCGCGTATCCTTGGTGTGTGACAACGTCAACGTGTTTAAGATACCGTCGATCAGCATCTGCCTTGACTTGTGCGAGATACTCTTGCTGATCTTCAGGTAGCTCGCAATCATCATGATCTCCTGGGTGGTGAAGTAGCCGTGCAAACTGTCCATCTGCTGAATGTAACGCAGCTGTTTTTTGAAAGTATCGCGATTCTGCTTATTGCCTCTGCTGAAGTACTCCACCGTTCCCGTGTACAACCCTTCTTGGAAGCCGCTCAATATGTTCAGCAACGTCGACTTGCCCGCACCGGACGGTCCCATGATAGCCGTAAGTTCGGTAGATCGGAAGAATCCGCTCAGGCCTTTGAGGATCTGTTTCTTCGGCCTGCGAAATCCGGTCTGGATCGCGTACGATATATCTCTAAACTTAACATCGATCGTTTGACTGCACATTATGTTCGTGAAAGTGAGTTTGTGCTGGATTTTACGGTTTGATTGGTTCTAAGTTACCTCGGGTATTTTGCGCAATCCGTCTGATGGTAATTACGCTTTTGTAACCTGTTCTAACCTACGTTTATCGACAATTTACTTGTGTAGCACAAAACTAGATGCGCACAATGATAGATACAGCCACGCACTGGTAAATAGGGCGAATTATTTATATCTCATCCGTATGCACAGCAGATACTCAACTGTGATACGAATGCGTACTGCTTCGCGTTAAACACGGAGACAAACGCAAATACAGTTTGTGTTAGCCTTTCTTATTTCCGGAGGTTCTCCTTGTGTTAGCGGATGACATAAGTTTTACGAATTTTTCTTATCTTAACACTTTTTACCACATTGTAAACTCACATGACTTATACAGATTAAGTGCTGAGTATTGTTACAGGTATAATGTCTAATAATCACTCGTCAGCAATGTTTTGTGAATAATTCGTGTGAACAGTGATAACTAGTTATCTACAGTCGACTAACGTAAGAAGATTAACGTTCTTTTCTTTTTACAAACTTTTTTTCTGAGAGTAATTATCCGTAGCGCATTTTCGCACCTCGACCGTTTGCAAAAAAATCCTCTTAATGTTTCCCTTTTTTCATCTAATTAGCGTTTAACATGCAGTATTTTTGTCAAATCTCTTCGAAGGAATTCAGCAGCGATCATGGCTTCAATTTGGTAACAGCGCTACAATTTTTCACGTATGCATTTCTTTTCATTCGTTTCGTTCACCTGCAAATGAAGCATTACGTTATTGAATGTTACATGTTCATACATTCGCGTATATGATATACACACGCGTAACAACACCGATTAACAAAAAAGAAGAAAGAGAGAAAAAACCAATTCTTAATTTTTATGTTTCAGCAATTTTATTTGTCTCGTCTGAGTCAAAATTTTAGTTTTATATACTATGAATTCTATAACAGTAGGAGTTAATACGCTTTAGCTACTGATAGCTAGTTTACGTGATTAGCATACCCGCTTAATTAGCGCAAATATAAGCAATTATTAGGCAGGATATATCTAAACATTAGGAGCGCATTTACTTGGAGAAGTGAAAGAACGCTTTAAATAATTACTGAGCAAATTTAAGAACATAACGAGAGAAATACGCGCTTTAAATTCTTGGTAAAACGAATTCGATATCATTATTATCCTCTTAACATATAGTTTAAATATTTGCTCCAATATTTGTGTTAAGCTCTTGCTTGTCTACAGATATGTTTGATTTAAAGTGTACACTTTGAAGAGCGTGTGTATATAGAATTCGAGGTCCTTGACTCATCTCATTCACCGAGATACAAGTGATTTACCAAAATACCTTGTGTTACTTTGAGCACTGAATTAATGTTCTATCAAAATTCGTTTCGAAATAATAAGAAAAATTATCGCTCCGACTAACAATTCATCTATTTTAGAAGCATTTCTGTCAGTACCAAATTGGTCACGTTCTTCGCGAACACACTCAACTTTGCGATGTCAACGAGATCGTTACTTGTACGTCTCTTAGTCTTTTTCTTATATTTCCTTAAGGTGATGCTGCTAGGCTCGTTTTCGTAGAATACTCTTTTCTTCTAATTGGCATGCATAAAACTGCAAATGCTTTTACAGCGTGAAAGTATAAGCGATAATGAATGCCGCATACTAAAAAGTTGCATCGAAATCAACAAAAAATGTTGTATTTACTATTGGAAATGCGATGCAGGTGTCATGTTTATTTTCATGTAACAAATTTAGAGCTCATACGCTTCAAATACATAGAATGCGGTAGAGAGAAGACTTTCAGGAACATTATGAAGACATCGTTTTAGTATGCGGCATTCATTATCGCTTATATTAGGACCTTAACTTAGTTTCCGCCCAAAAAATACTGAGAAAAAGCATTTATTGTAAAAAATTTATTTAAATTATTTCAATGAAAGTATTTTCCATCACTTTCTACAACTTTTTGCCATCTTTCTGGCAACTGGGCGATACCATCTCGATAAAACGATGTTTGTTTCGAAGCAATCCATTCGTCCACCCATTCTCGCACTTCTTCAACATTTCGGAAGCGTGTACCACTCAAGCCGTGCTGCATCGATCTGAACAAGT